CTGGATCAGCCTAAAACCACGACACTCCCACAGCTCTCCCCTTCCAGCCGCCCTCTCTGCATGATACCTCCACATTCAGTTTGTGGTTCACAAGCTGATTCTTCTCGTTCACATGGCCGTTCGAGGGATTTGCATAAGGTCTTTCCTCATTGGTCCAGCTCACAGGATCAGTCTCTGCAGGTGACATGATTTGCACCAGGGGCCTCTTGGTGGCCTCCACAGCCCTCAGGCATGTTCCAATGTATCTGTGCCCCACCACCTTCTTAGTGTTCATCTGCCCTTTTCAAGTTCCCCATCCCAGATATGTAGACCTTGTTCTACAGCCTGGTAAAGCGCAGGAGCCTGCCTGGCCTATTCATTCCATTACCTGTTACTAAAGAATGTTTTACCCATTTTATACCTTTGCTTTCAGGGCTATATATATTTCTGTATCTTGATAAATCATAGAAATCATAGAATGGTTTGGGTTGGAAGGAATCTTGAAGATCATCTAGTTCCAACCCACCTGCCACAGGCAGGGACACCCTCCACTACACCAGGTTGCCCAAAGCCTCATCCAATCTGGCCTTGAACACTTCCAGGGATGGGGCAGCTACAACTTCTCTGGGCAACCTGTGCCAGTGCCTCACCACCCTCTGAGTGAAAAATTTCTTCCTTACATCCAATCTAAATCTCTCTTCTTTCAGTTTAAAGCCATTGCCCCTTACACCCTTGTAAAAAGTCCCTCCCCAGCTTTCCTGTAGGCCCCCTTTAGGTACTGGAAGGCTGCTGTAAGATCCAAACAGCACCAACTCTCTCAGCCTGTCGTCACAGGAGAGGAGCTCCAGCCGTCAGATCATCTTCATGGCCCTCCTCTGGACATGCTCCAGCAGCTCCATGTCCTTCTTCTGTTGGAGACCCCAGAGCTGAACACATTATTCCAGGTGGGGTCTCACAAGAGCAGAGCAGAGGGGCAGAATCCCCTCCCTCGACCTGCTGCCCACGCTGCTCTGGATGCAGCCCAGGACACGGTTGGCTTTCTGGGCTGCCAGCGCACATTGTCGGCTCATGTTGAGCTTCTCATCCACCAGCACTCCCAAGTCCTTCTCCTCAGGGCTGCTCTCAATCCATTCTCCACCCAGATGTGTGTATATTATCTATTGTACAGTGTAGGACAGTAGTAGTGGTAGCTCTATCATGTAGTACAGTGTATAGTGTATCCATGTATAAATAAATAAAATATATATTTACAAACATTTATGCAGTCTATTTATGATTCTATGTATGTAGATATTGTATATAACATTATGGTGGGCTAGCCTTCACCAGCTCCCAGCTGCCCATCCAGCCACTCTCTCATGCCTCCTCAACAGGACAGGGGTTGGAAAATAAGATGGTAAAGCTCATGGGTTGAGATAAGGACAGGGAGATCACTGCCAAATTACTGTCAGCCAAATGGACTCGACTTGGGGAAAATGAATTTAATTTTTTGCAAACTAAAAATAAGAGTTGGATAGAGAGAAAAAAAAATCTAATCCACCTTCCCACCCATCTCCCTCCTTTTTCCCAGGTTCAATTTCACTTCTTCATTGCTGACTCCTCTACTTCCAACCCACCCTGAGCATCACAGGGGAATGGGGATTAGGGTCAGTCCATACAGCTCCTCTCTGCCATTCCTTCCTCCTCACACATTTTTCTGAATAGTGGTGATGATGTAGGGTTTTTTTGGCCAATTGAGACTGTCCAGAACAGTGCAACATTTGATAAACTCTACAAGGAGTCGTAGGTCAGGGAAAAAAATCTCATCTCCTCAAGATTTTGCCTTTGCCCAGTAGCCAATGGAGATACCAGCTTTCAGAAAGTGTGTTTATGAAGAGGTCATGGCCTTTCTCCATTACACTCTCCACACTTTCAGCACGTGATACTGGTCTGGTGGTCAAGAGGCTGTGATTTGGTTGCTGTTCCTCACCTGGTCTGCCTCCTATGTCCTGGGAATCCTGCAGTCCTCCAATCTGCAGTCCGCCAAGTGCTGCCGGGTGTTGGGCCAGGAAAAACTGCAGGCGGAAAACACAGAAAAAGGAAAACCAGGAAAATAGCCTGGCTGTAGCTCTACAGAGCTGTGCATGCTCCATTGTTTGGCATCTCATTCAGTGGGTGACAGGAGATGCTCCAAGGTACATTGTACATAGTCAAACGGGGCCTGAAAGTGTAACTTAGGGGAGGGACCTAACCAGGAGCCTGGGGAAGTAACTGGCCCTGTCTCTGAAGATCTCAAACTGGACAGTTTCTGCTCCAATCAGGGAAGATTAAAGAACAAGTGAACTGCACGTCATGACTGTTTTTAAGCAGTGTAAACTCTTGTGCAGCTGATATGGCTGACCTGTGCATGTTGACAGACCTGTGTATGCTTATGTCCAGGTGCTTCCTTTTCTCAGTGTTAAGAGTCAAATACAAGTCTCTGAGTATTTCAGCAAGGATGTGTGAGTGGGTAGCCTTGTCTTCCATGACTTAAAACCACACATGCTATTCAAAATGCAGGGTCCAATTCTGTGACAGCTTCTGCAGCCCCAATGACCTACAGGAACATAACACGGGGTAGACGGTCAAAACCTGTGGGGGATTTTCTGATGAGAGACTCTCCACCACTCTCCAAATCTTCTAGATCGTAGGCCATGGTGGAGAGGATGCACTGTCCATGCAGGTTGTTTCCATGTATATAGAAGGCACATAACTCAGAATATTGTGTCAGGAAAAGCATCCTTGGACTTAACGGTATCTTCAGTAAATGGTTTGGTCTCTTGGTGGTGAACAGATGGTAAAACAGGACCATCAACTCCTGCTTAGCTGAATCTCACTCATATAAATGAATAATAAATAAATAAATAATCCCCTGCTTAGTGTGTGCTTAATAGTACACTCCCAACCCAGATCATCCATAGATAGGGGGCTTTCTTGCAATCTCAGTACTGTGCTCTTAAGCATTTATTTTAATGGAAGAAGAGAGTAATTCTTGTCAAAACTACAGCTGAGTCACTAGTGAAGATAACATAAATCCTAAATTCTAGTGGTTTTGTCTTTCTTGCTATAGCTAAAGGAACAATATTCTACAGTAAGGACAGGATAGTAGGCTAAAATAAGAGTAAAGAGAGAAATCATTTATTTAGAACACGTTAGGAACACTATTCACAGTACATCGTAACAGGGTGACTACATAGTGGGGTGATCACAAAAGAGTGACTTAAAAAAGCAAAGACAAAGCATAGATTATAGGCCAGTTGTGGAAATCAGTGGTTTTTTTCTTCCCATAAGCAAAGCAGTACAAATAAAGACTGTCTCATACTATTTCTGCACAGGTAAAAGACTGATTTACTCAGTCTGTACATTTTCTTTATTTTGTATAAACATACCAATACTTAGATTAACACTTCCATAGAGTTTACAATGTTTAATTTAAATACAGTATTATCTTTCATTGACTTGTTGATTTAAGGTGCAATTTATCAAAACCTACAGTAAATATTTTCTTTTCTTAATCAGTTCTCTTTGGCACGCCTCTGGTTTATTTAAATACAAAAGTGTAGGACTGAATCGAGTATATAACACTGCAGGAACTTGAAGCTTTTTTTTCTCAGCATATGAGTGCAATTTGAGGTTTGCCACAAGCTTATTTACAAAGAACTGTATATGAATTTCAGTTTACTTTACATATAAAATCACTAACAACTTTGATGTGCAAGGCAAAAAAATTTGTTACAGCAACTCCTCCCTTGAGAGAGCGATTTTTGCACCATGGAAATCTTATATAAAATGTTTTAGAAAATGGAGATTTCTTATGAGGAAGTTCTTGGTGCTTCTTATCCTACAGCAAGCCACCTGAACACATGACTTTCTGGGTCCAGAAATTGCTTCATAAGATACAGTTTGGCTGATATGTTGGCACTGTAGCAGTGTTGCAGCTACAAATTTGCATGTTCAACTGGCAAACTAAACCAAGGAGCCAAAACCCAACTAATTTGTGTAAAAAAGCTTAGTGACAGTGGCTTCTTTCTAGAAAAAGGTACACCTCCTATATTCCTGATTTTATATCTGTTTTTATTCCAAGGAGGAAAGGTTTAGAATTTGCACTATGCGTTGCTCTACAGTCTATTTTCATCTTCATGACCTCTGCCTACTTTTGGGCTGATCAATATTTGGTTAGTCAAAAGGTGAACAACAGCAAAAGGCCTTATTTCTGCTTCTGATGGAAATGTACTAGAAGGCCATCAAAGCAGACGTAAATCAGTGAAGTATCACTTTACCAAAACTCTTCAAATGCCAGAAGAGGAAACCCACAGCAATTTATTTCACATCTGAAGGTCAATCCCAGCAGGTGGCATTCACATGAAAGGCATGGAGAAACCTAGCTACATAAACACTGGAAATTCTTTGATCCCCAATTATTTCACAATTAAAGAAAAATGAAACCCTGTTCACAGTAAAATTCTTATTACAAGGCCTTTCCGGTCTGTTCCTCCTGAATCACCCAAGTGGTATCCTCTCAGCTGCAGAAATGAGTATATTGGCACATGATCAAGTTACAGTAGGTGTCAAGTACAGTGCAATCTGTTTAGAAGGCAAGGATGTTAAAAGGGATTTCGTACAGGTGCTTTGTAATGTGGGTAAGATGTGGAATGCTGTGCTACTCCTGAGTAAAACACATTTGGCTATCCCAGCTAAGATACCCATTTATCAGCATGCTGATGCCGAAGAGGCATTTGATAGCCTCAGCAATAGTGTATATTCTTTAAAAAAAAAAAAAAAAAAGTATTTTACAACTTCCTTTTTCTTCAATCTACCAGCAAGGACTAAAAGTGGTGAGTTCAAATTGTTGGGAGAGGTAAAAAGAAGTGGGTAGAATGGGTAAGGAGAATCAGAGTCTGTGTAGTAAATCAAATGCATGTGAGATGTAATTCATTCTCAATTATTCTTTAACCTTTTTGAGATATTGCATATGGCCATCTCCTTTAGCACTCCTTTTTCACCTGAAAGCTATCAGCCTTAGAACTGAGATGTCTGTGTGAAAGATATGGTATCAGACTTATCTACAGCAAAGCCTCCGTTGACGTACGATTTCTTGGTCTCTGTTTCATCATTATCAAGTATTGTTTCCAAGGCAAAAGGATTGACTATGTTGACTTCAGAGGTGACATCCATCTGCTTCAGCTCCTCTTTAGAGAGCTTCTCCACTATTCCTGTACCAAAGGCATCTCCCAAGACATTCACCATTGTTCTGAATCGATCCCTACGGAATAAAAATGTTGTCAGACAAACCATTCTGTATGTTACTTAGAAAATCCATTTAGTAGAAGTAAGCTGCTCTAGTAAATGCAGAGCTGTTTTTTTCCCAGTACAGATTCAGAGTTATTCTGCAAGTAAGAGGAAAAAAAATCATGTAGAATGAGAAAATGAATTTTCCTTAAATATATTTGAAGAAATCTGGAGTCACTTTCATGACAAATTACTTTGAGCAAGGTGTGTAAAACTGCAGGTCATGTCACTAGCCTGCTAGAGCAGTAATCACGCTGCTGTGCATAGCCTTACAAGACATTGTAGAGACCATTTCTCAGGCCCTGAAGTGTTCTATACACCTGGTTCTTGGTGTGATGAGACTGCTTTTGTTGGGAGGAGAGACTGTGAGGAGCAGCAGAAGAGTCTGTGTTGTGCCTTTTGTCTTTCTAACAGTCATTTCCTCAGCCAGAGGAGTGCCTAGCCTAGTATCTTCACCATTCCAGGCCAAACCCTAGCAATGGGAAGGGCTATTTTCTGTTAGCTTCTCATTAAATGGTTGAAGTAGAAATTTGTCTTAAACAAGTCACTTAAAGGAATATGATGCTTCTACACTGTTGATTTTTCTCTCAACAGAAATGTGACTTGCAGGCCTTAAAAATCTGCTGCTACTTGGCAGAGGAGCAACAAAACCATGCAATGCAGCAAAGTTTGAAAATTGGCATGAGAGTAAGGTAGGGACGGTGGAAGGTCATGCCTCCCTGTTTTGCTTTTCAGCTATGCAGCACCACAAGGGCTTCGTGGCAGAATGAGTGGCTCTGTCTGTGCAGAGATGTTGAGGTGGATATATTCACACATAGAAGGGACTGCAAAAACAATAGCAAAGTGAATCAGTGTGTCTTATATACATACTCTTCCGGTACAACTGCTGAACTCCAGTGCTAAAAAGAGCCCATATGTTCTCCATGTGGAAAGGAAATACAAGGTAGGTAAAGGAAGGAGAGGGGTAAAGTAAAATTCTGGTTGGATCAGTGTGGCAAGTGAGGAAATCAACAGCACTAGAAATTCGTATTTCATAATATTTCTATTCTCAAAGTTTTTCTATTCTTCATTAAAAACACAGAAGTACTCCTCAAGCCTATGTAAAAAAATCTCCATAAGTTCAGAATTAACTAGAGGATTGTTAATGAGCCACTACTAGCAGGTTGTAAAATAATACATTTTAGGCAATAAGTACAAAAGGTGGAAGTGTTAATAATCTACGTGGCATCATGATGTGCATTCCATCTGCTGAGATGCAAAATGCACTGGCAGTGATTCTTGGTACGTGAAATTAATCTTTAATTTGCTTTACGCAGCAAGACACCTTTATCTGAAACATATCTCAGTTAGAATCAGAAACAGCTTGAATTCTTTGTCTGTTTCACGGTGGAACAGGTAGCCTCCATGAATACATATTGTGCCTAGGAATCATATAAATTGTGGACTTTCAAAGTGGAGACAAGATCTGATCTGTAAAATTATGATTACTATGAGAAATAGGAAATTTGTTCTCTTTCTCTCTCTCTCAATCCCATCAAAGAATTAGGAGGAATTGAATAAAATTATTAGGATGTAGATTAAAACCAAACAAAATTAAATATGTCTCTGTGCAACACATTGTTACGTTGTGGAATTCCTCTCCACAGGACTTGGAGAAGTCTAAAAGTTTGTATGGGTCCCAAAAGCAATGAGGCATTCATAGAAGAAGAAGAAATCTGTTCAAAACTGTTAAAATGAAATCACCTCTAGCTCAGAACTCCGTAAGCTGCAATTTGCAGGAGGCTAGGAGAGTACTTCGGGAAAAGAACCAAAATACATTTGTTTTGTTCTTACACTCTTCTTTAGATATGTGCTTTAAGCCAGCGGTTCGTACTGGTCTTCATTATCCTTAACAAAACTAAATGCCCACTGGGAAAAGAAGAGAGCTGGAGAAAATGAAATGATCATGGAGCATAGCAAACAAACCTATTAGACCTTGTTGCAGACAGCCGATGGGGAGAATGTACTTGTGGCTGAAGCTGCTTTGTTTGGAGCAATTATGCTTATACAGAAATTGAATGGATTCTCAGATTCATTCAACAGCCCTGGTTTTCTGGAGACCAGCATTTCTCTCTACAGCTTGCAAAATTGAGTTATATAATCAAGTAAATCAGATATATCTGTGAAATATATAGGTTGCTGCCAGAAAGCCTTCAAGAAAATGATTGTTAAGCTCGAGGCAGGAACAGGAATGTGTCTCTACCTTGAGTGTAAATATAAGCCTAAGAAGAAGATACGCAGAGACTACAAAATTATTATGATCTCTGCATTGCTACCAATAAAATATCATCCATACTGAGTTACTGCAAGTGAACAAGGCCTTGGTCTGGGCACTAAAGCTTGCACAGTTTAGGAAGCAAAAAGCTGTATTACAAACTAA